TAGTGGCAATTAGCTCGAGGAGCCAGTGTTTTAGGCAATTGACCATGACCTTGGAAATAACCTTGTAGCTGAAGTTGTATAAGCTGATGGATCTGTATTGAGTGATGCTCTCTGGATTTGATACTTTAGAAATGAGTACAATGTGTGTTATATCGAGGATATGGTTAAGGGTACCTAAGTCGAAAAAGCTTTCAACCATCCGGAATACGTCTTGCTGGATATCCTCCCAGTGATGGTGGCAAAATTGCTTATTAAGCCCATCCGGTCTTAGTGCCTTTGTGGCTCTCATCTGAAACACCGCTTGCTTCACTTCTTCAATGGTTACCGGGCTCATCAAGGCTTTGTTCATTTCATCCCAAACAAGGCAAGAGCGTTAATCTAGTGTGGGCTGAAAGTTTCTAGGACCCACAATATCGTATAACAACTGATAAAAGCTGTCAATGTGTTGCCTTAGCATAGTAGGATCAAGACTCCAGTTTTGGTCATCAATATCAATATGGAAATCTTATTCCATTGTCTTCATTATAATGGGTTAGCATGAAAGTACTTCATGTTTCTATCTCCCCATTTTGGCCAACTAATTAGTGACATTATGCCCCAATACATCTCTTCATGCCTCCATAATTTTTCAATTTGCTTTGTGATTTGCTAGACAGCTTCCTTTCTCAAGCTGCCTCCTTCACTATTAGTCACATCAGTAAGCCTCCTTTGGAGAATCTCAATCTGTCAAAAGGCATTAGAGAATTTCTTTCTACTCCAATTTGCTAAGGGGACAACAACCTTTCTTGATTTGCTCGCTAGGTCTAACTGGACATTATGCTGATTATTCCATGCTTTTTTGACGATCTCATTGCACTCTGCATCATCTAGCCACAACACTTCAAAACGGAACTCTTTTTTCCTTTTAACCAAAGTCGAGAACAAAGAAAGAAGTATTGGGCTGTGGTCGAAGCCTGTAGTTGGCAAAGTATAAGCTTTCGCGTTGGGAACAACATTCTCCTTTTGATATTGCAAAGAACCATGTCCAACCTCTTTTTCACCAAAGCATCCCCGTTTCTATTGTTAGCCCAAGTAAAAGCACACCCTTTACTTTTTATATCCATCAGCGAATAGTCATTCAAGAGTTCACGAAATGCTACTGACTTATATTGGTCCGTTTATCTTTTTCCCACCTTCTCCCACTAATAAAGAATTTCATTGAAATCTCCTATACAAATCCATGGGAGATAATTGGTGGAATGGAAAATGCGCAATTGCTGCCATAAAAGGAGTTTCTTCTAAATGTTAATGGAGGCGTGTAGAAAAGTAATCATCATCATTCTACCACAGTTTTGGTCCTTGCAAATAACATTAATGAGATCCCTCGAGCTAGATTCCACTCTCACCGTCACCTCCCCATTCGACATTACTACTAATCTCCTCGCAGTACCTACTGGAATGATCACCGCAGAATCCTGGTACGAAGACGTTTTCTTACTCTATCTAGTACTGGTTCTTTATTCTTTGTTTCCATCAAGAACACTAATTGGGCATTTCTTGAGCCACTAAGGGTCTGAAATATTGGAATGTCAGGTTGTGCCCAGCCCCTAGCAATTCAAGTTCAAAAGTTTCATTTATACCCCGGTGGCTTATTAGGACTAGCCACCGAAGCCCAATCTCTCACCCCCTCCACCATTTGAATGAGGGTATCCAATAACTGCTCGTCGTCGAAGGACTGAGAAAGGATACCTTGCTGTCCATAAGTATAGTAGCGAAACAAAATGCTGCCAAAGCGGGAGTTCATTGGAAGAAATGGGAAGTATTGAAGACCAGAAAAGACTTTGGAGGACTAGGTTTCAAAAACCTTGTCACCTTCATCAAAACCAAGCTGGGAAACAGGCGTGGAGACTCGTGCAATCCTCATCAGCCTTATTGAGTTAGCTATAAAGAGAAATCTACTTTCGGAGAGGGGATTTTTGGACCGCAAACGAGGGATATCGCCCGTCCTGGGAGTGGCAAAATTTTGTTAGTGAGTACATAGGTAATTAGTCTAGACGTTAGACGGTCGTTGGGAGATGGAAAAATCATCAACATTCGAGCAAATAAATGGCTATCCACTGGATCAACTGGCGGACCAGCAAATTGAGGAGACCCCCAATTTGTAGCAGAATTGATTAATCAAGAAGCAAAGGAATGGGAAGTATAGAATCTGTCAGTCATCTTTGAAGAGCATATTGTGCCAGAAATCCTAACGATCCCACTCAGCCCCAACGTTGGGATATATAAGCATTTGGATGGGGAATAAATCGGGGTCCAATTCGGTCAAAAGCGGGTACAACAAATTATATCCAACATGCTCCCAATTAAACGCAAACCAGGCATCTTCATTGTATCAGACTTCCCGGACCCTACGGACCATGATGTGGCATCTAAAATCCTATCCTAAAATAAGATTCTTCACGTTGGAGTGTGTGTAACAATGCATTACCCGCGAAGGAAAATCTGTACAAAAGGAAGACGCTACTTGACCCACTTTGCCCCTTGTGTCCTCAAGCTCCGGAAACCTCGGATCGTGAAAAATGTGAGCTGGGCTCTCTGAAGTTTAACGTCGACGGATCGTGGGTCAGCAGTTCATTGGAGGGCTTGATAGCAGGAGTATGCCGGGATCGCCACTGATTGCTCACCGACGGATATGTTATATGTTCATAAACTGGTCAATTATGTTCTACTAGCGTTGCTTCTTAATGAAAAATGGTTCTTTTTGACAAAAAAAAAAAAAAACCATCACCAGGAAGGCAGGCTGATGGATCGCCAATTTTAGTTGGTCATAGCATAGTCAATTTTACTTATATCGACAATTTTAGATATGCTTTCTAGCTAATATATATTGTTTTGTATAGAGTCAGTTTGTTATGTTACATATAATGTTTCGTATATAGTCAATTTGAAGATGAGAAAATATTTTGCGTGAACTAATATGTGTATTTGAGTATACTGGAGAAATATTCTTTACATGTACAATTTCGTATATGGATGATGTTACCAGCAAGACATCTATGCTGGTGGAGAGTTTCTTGCTCTACAAATGGAGAACATGATATTGAAGGGTCTTCGGATTTTCGGTGAATGAGCAAGGGATGTGTGATCATCGAGATATTTGGACAAACCATATAGAAGGAGAAAAACTTGATTAACATTTACTACATTAACACATCAATATGCTAAGAAAGATTAAAGTATAGAAGGTAACCGGATGAAATTTCGTGAAATCGCCAAGTCTAGATAGACTTTGTTATAGAGGAAAATTTACTCTACAGCTCGAGTGGATGATACTCCGCGATACCTAATTTTAAATAAATTTGAACATGAATTCATATTGAAATGGGTGCATTCGAGCCAATATTGAGCCTTGGAATCAATGGAAAGATGCATGATCTTTCAACAATTAGAAGCAATTTGTGTGAAATTAGAAAAGATTTCTTTCCTACTCTTCTATATACAACAAAGTACTTTTGTACATAGTAGAGTCACTTCTACATATTTATATAATATGCATAACAGATTATTTATAGATATTGATACTAATATCTAAATTGACATTTCAAAGATTTATTTTCATTAAATTACTTCTCTAGGAAAAAAAGAGCTTTGTATGAATGAACATCCACATTAAATGCACTAAAAATTGCATTTTAACCGACATAAATGTGTAAGATATTTTCCCTTATAATTTGTTTGGGAAAAAGAAAAGATTTCATATTTCATTATTATCAGATTTAATGCAGTTATTATGCAAAAGTAAACTTTAGTAACATACTCAATATTCACACCCATGCTTCGTGCGAGTTTTATTAATTGAAAGTTTTTCTAAAATATTTTTTTGAAAAATTCACGCTCATACTTTTATAAACGCAACTTCTATAAAAATAAAAAAAAATTCAAATAAGTACATGAGGTGCCATCATTTTCTCAAATTAGGGTATGAAGTATACATTGTCTCAACCAAATCGTCTCAAATAAAGGCTTGAAGTGACCAAATCGTCTCAGATAAAGACTTTTGGCCGGCCGGTGACTATTCCAGCCACCGGAGAAAGGGAATTTTAGTCAAAAAAATTTTAAGTATGTATTTTTCAAATTTTTGATTCTTTTACTTTCTTTTTCTTTTCCTTTCTTTTTTGTTTTTCTCTTTTTCCCTCTTCCCTTCCCCGGCCATCGCCGACAACTTCTGTTGGTCTCAGGCGAGGGCCACCCTCGCCAGCATCTGGTGAGCCTCCCTCACTTGGCCTGGCGAGGGCGATCCTCGACCTTGCCAAATTTGGCGAGGTTGACCCGACGCTGGGCTAGGCGAGGGTGTTCCTCACTAGATTCGGCGAGGGCAACCCTCGCCGAGCCAGTTCGGGTGAGGGTTGCCCTCGCTTGAGCTCGCCCTCACTGGCGTCGGACGAGGGTTACCTCGCCTGGGCTGGGTGGGCGAAGGCGGCCCTTGTTCGAGTCGGGCAACCTCCGTCGGCAATGGAAAGAGGTAAAAGAAAAGAAAAAGAAAAGGAAAAGGTAAAGAAAATAACATAAAAAGGAAAAAAGAAAGTAAAAAAGGAAAAAATCCAAAAAAAGTAAAGGATGAAAAAGCCTTTCAGCCAGCAAGGTCAGGCCCTTATTAAGACTAATATGGTCACTTCGTGTTCTTATTTGAGATAAGATCCAATTCAAGTCTTTATTTGAGAAAATGTAGGCATTTCAGATCTTTATATGAGATAATGTCCACTTCATACCTTTATTTAAGAAAACGAGAGTACTTGAGGCATTTGTTTGGAGTTTTTCCTTAAAATAATAATAGGTATTATTGTGCAAAACTGATTTATACTGCTCCTGCTCCTGTATTATGAATATTGAGAGATTTAGGTATTTCAAAATGTATTTTTCTACTATGTAAGTTTTATAAATAGCCAATTTCACTACATATATATAAAAAAATAATGATATAATTAGATGTTTATATATAGATTGAAGAAAAGTCTCCACTCCAAAATTCCAAAAATCATAACCTGCCAATCTTTCCATTCATCTGTTGGTCAGACTTCAGCGGAAGCAAAATTCAATCTTTATTCTTTCAATCCTGTCAAAGCTGGTGATCCCCGTGCAGAAACCGAGGCCGCTCCTCGCCGTTTCGGGTCTCGAGACGCAATCTGGCGGCTCCGCGCCTCGCCGCCGTTGATGCTTGAGGTGGTGCGATTCGATTCCGTTCTCTTCTGATATCTCTCGTTGCCCGTGATTCTCCCTCTTCCGATTTGCGGTTTCATGCTTCTGGGTACGAAAATGGAGTGCTGTGCTGCTTGATCGAATGTGTGTAGATCGGAATTCAACTGGGCTGATGGGTTTTACGGTGAATTGTAATGTTCTGAACTTGGTTTCATTTGAATCTGGGAGAGAGCTTGTTTTTTTATCTTTTCGCTGTGGATTGGATCGGGAATGAGGAGAGAGATGAGGGGCTTGAATCGATTTTCGTATGCTTTGAATGTTTGTGGACATGGGTTGGCATGGAATTTTGAGCTTGTGGGTTATTGCATAAACGGGTCGTTTGAATTGTTGTCTTTGAACTTTCAAATATGGCTGCTTGCCTCTATGTTGATGCTCTCCTTTTTCAAGTGGTTTGGTCTGAATTGCTTTGATGGGAAGTTTTAGAAGGATGTGGGCGATTGACTTCATTGTGAAATGCAGGAGTTCGTGCGGGACTTGTGATTTCTGCTCCGATTACGTTTGATTCAGTGCAAATGGAATTTTTACTTTCAAATTTGGTGAATCCTGCTTTGGATTGGGGATTGAAGGTTTTGGATGCTCCCACTGTTCGAGCTGTGATTTTTGGAACGTCTATAGGCGGTACTAATGGGATATTCTTGTCATTTCTGTATCCGATGACCTTTTCTTTTTTTTTTTATTTGAGTTTATCTCGGCTGATTTATCCTCTTCCTTTGGAAAGGTCATATATTTGTGGATGTTCTGCTGCTGCTGGTGATCATCTACCTACTTTCTCAGAAGAGTTATAAGCCCCCGAAGAGGCCTTTGACAGAGAACGTTAGTCTGACACTTATGTTAAATAGTCTCAACGATTTAAATTGTTCGTCCGCATTTGTTTGCACTTTATGCCGATTTGAGTGCCATACTCAATTGCTTCCTCTTGGTTTGATTTGAATATCAGTTATTGATGTTTGCTTTTCATGTAAATCATGCTGTACTCGTCTCTGACTATTGATGTGAAAATAAAATGCATGATATGATAAAGTTGGGAGTGGAGCTTGATTGCTTGCTTGCCATGCTCTTCTGCTTGTATAAGAGGCAGCCAATCTCTGCTTAGGTTGGGACTGCAATTTCATTTATCAAATCACAAAGCATAGAAGAAGAAAAACGGGTCTGAATGAACGAGAAGCTAATAATAGCTTTAGGGATGATTACATTGAGAGGCTGTGTTTTGTTATTAGGATGATACTAGAAGTAGTGCTGTTTTCTATTGGAGCTTCCCTTATTCCTTTTAAGGAGCATAATAATTCGAATCGATGGTAAAATTCTTTGCCAAAATAGGTCTTCCTTATCGGATTGCATTTACTCTGGATCTTTTCTTTATCTGCTGAATTTTGTTATTGTTTGCTTTACTTTAGTATGATGAACCATTTCCGTATGCCTTCTGTTGATAACTGAAAATTTGGTGAGGTTTATGCTTCAAAATCAGATGTCAATCTTGCTGTGATTGGCATTGACGGTCCTTTCCTAAATGCATCAATAGACTGCCTCTGTTAGGTTTAGATGGTACTTGAATGGTCCTTGTATTCTGAGATGTGTGCATGGTGTCTGTAGGAAATAGATGAGCTATGTGATGAATGGGTTCCAGAATCCCTTATTCCTCCAATAGCAGAAGAGATGACTTACCAAGCCCCTGTTTTAGAGAGGTAAAAACATCTCTCAGCACCATTCGATTTTCATAAGCTATGCTTTTCTTCTTGTTTTCCTTTTCTTCATTTTTTTATTCACCTCGTTAATCTGGGTAAAAATTATATAAGCAGGTAGTGTTTTCCGGATCTCCTCAACAAACAGATATCTATTTTCTAGTTCACTAGAAAAAGAGCATACTATTTATGTGTAAAGAAATAGTGATGACAATTTTTAACTTAGTAAAGTATAATATAATATACAAAGACTTGATACATTTGGTCATATGAATTCAAATTATCTTAAAACTAGGAAGAGTTGTGATTCATGGAATATTTAACAACTATCTTGAATTCAAATTAAAAATCAAGAGATTAATGGACTTTTCACTTAAATTTTTTTGGGAAAATTTCAATTAAGGACCCAAAGTGGGTCTCTTTTCTCAAAAAAGGACCCCAAGTGGACAATGTCTCAATTAAGGATCCAAAGTGCCCAAACCAGTCTTAAAAAAGGACCTCAGCTCGCCAGCTGGCCAAATGTTCGCCGGCCGGCAAGCGTGAGACATTTCCGGCACCGGAATATGGGCAATTTTGTCTTTTTCTTTTCTTTTCCTTTTTTTTTTCTTTTTCTCTCTTCCCTCTTGTGGCCATCGCCGGCGACGTCCGTTGGCCTCAGGCGAGGGCCGCCTTCGCTAGCATCGGGCGACAGCCGCCCTCGCCGGCGTCGGGTGAGGTTCGCCCTCGCTTGGGTGGGTGAGAGCCGCCCTCGCCCTCGCCGGATTTGGGGAGGAACGCCCTTGCTAGCCCAGGCGGGGGCGACCCTTGCTTGACGCTGGCAAGGCTGAGGGCAGCCCTCGCCGCAACCCTTGCCAGAGGCCGGCGAGGGCAACCCTCGCTTGGGCTAGCGAGGCCAAGGGCGGCCCTCGCCGGATCTGGGCGGGCGAGAGCCGCCCTCGCCTGGGCTGGCAAGGGTTGCGGTGAGGGCGTTCCTCACAAGATCCCTCACCCGATCCGGCGAGGGCGAGGGCGGCCCTCGCCCGCCTAGGTGAGGGCCGCCGTCTCCCGACGCCGGCGATGGCCACAAGAGGGAAAAGAGAAAAAAAAGAAAGGAAAAGAAAAGAAAAAGACAAAATTGCCTCTATTCCGGCGCCGGAAATGTCTCACGCTTGCCGACTGGCGAAATGTTCGCCAGCCGGCGAGCTGGGTCCTTATTTGAGATTGGTTTGGGTACTTTGGGTCATTAATTGAAACATTGTCAACTTGGGGTCTTTTTTTGAGAAAAGAGACTCACTCTGGATCTTTAATTGAAAATTTCCCAATTTTTTTATAAAATTTTTAGGTTTAAGTTGCAATTGGTTTTTTTTGTCAATGGAAGAGACGTTTCTTCTTCGTGGTTCTCACTTTGGTGAAATCATTGTGCTCCACTTAAAAATCCTATATTCACCAATCCAACTGAATCAAAATGTACCGTTGTTGTAAATTTTAACTTTTTCGTTGAGATGCATCTGCTCATCAGTTGGCATCATGCAGTGCTGCAGGACCACATGCTATCATCAATGGCAAGGAAGTCGTCAATTTTGCTTCTGCAAATTATCTTGGATTGATTGGACATGAGAAGTTACTTGTGAGAAAGAACAGTCCTGTAAATATATCACCAAGATAATGGCTTTGCCTGGATGCAGAACTTACTTCTTTGTCTTATTGCAGGAGTCATGTACATCAGCACTGGAAAAATATGGTGTTGGTTCTTGCGGTCCTCGTGGGTTCTATGGGACTATTGGTAAGCAAATAAAAGTAATCAAAGAAGCTGACTTTAAGCAATAACATTAATCTAACTTTCCTTATTTAAATAAGCGTTTCTTTCCTGATTTGATAAGCTCTATGTAGAACTCTTATTCTCTTCCCTCTATTTCAGATGTCCACCTCGATTGTGAGGCCAGACTAGCAAAATTTCTGGGCACTCATGATTCAATCCTTTATTCTTTTGGCCTTTCTACCATGTTCAGTGCAATTCCAGCATTTTGTAAGAAGGGGGACATTGTAGTTGTGTAAGTATTTCTCTAATCACCTGCATAGATTCTATTTTTCATGGTTTGTGGCTTTGAAAAGGAGCTTTCCACATAGAACTTACCACATACATGAGGATTTTGGTTATTTGGCCTTCATTATGTGTAAGAAGTTTAGTGCAATTGGTCTCTTCGCTGTCACTTTTCGTTTCATTTTTCCTCTTGTTTTTTGTGGAGCATCTCCTTAAACCAATACGTCTCATTCTGTTTGAGCGTTTTTGAGTTTCTGCATCTGTCAATTCTTTATGGTTAGAGCAAGATTTTAGTATCGATTTAGATTTTTTGCAGAGCCAGTAGTCTTTCTACTCCCAATGTATTGTTTCTTTTAAAATTAGCTTTCTCACAAGGTTGATTACTTTCACCTTTCCAGAGATGAGGGAGTCCACTGGGCTATACAGAATGGCTTGCAGCTCTCTAAAGGCACCATTGTAAATTTCAAGCACAATGATATGAATTCTCTTCAAAATACGCTGGAAAGAATTACATTTGAGAATAAACGGGCTAAGAAGTTGCGTCGGTACATTGTGGTTGAAGCTATATACCAGGTGTAGATTTCTAGCTTTTCTCCTCAACTTTGGAGTTTGGATTGTAATCGCCTTAACCTACTTGAATAAATTAATGGAAATTTGGAGAGCTTCCTGCCATTAATGAAGATGTATGTTTCACATACTACAATACGTAGAAACCTGACATGGTGTTTGGTGTATGCATTTATGCATTTATTGGTTGATTTCAGCCTAAATTAACTCCCTGCCATAAGATGGGACAAGAGTTGAGAGCAACATAGACAAAACTATGTGGCACTTTGTCCTTCATTCTTTTGCCTGAGATAGATCTTAATGAAATTCTTTGATGGACCATGCATGTTCATTTTTCATGTCTCTGCACTGCACTTTGCATTTACATTTGACCATAATCTCCTGGCTTTGTTCTTCATTCTTGCAAGGTAAAAGAATGGAAGAAAATTGCAAGTCTTGAAGAGATTAGGTTGATTTTCATGTTTTAATGGAAATATGATGTGAGCTACAGGGAAAGCATTTTTCACTGTCGTACTAATTTCAAGGATGTGAAAGAAGACTGTTTTTCATAGTTTTTCGTAATGTTCTTGGAGCTAAAATGCTTCTTTGTTTAGTTGTATTCTTATTTTACTCGATTTTGACAGTTGCACAGCACACGCTAGTATGCCTTAAAAGCATTTCTCTCATACTTACCAATTATCGGGATCAGAACCTCATTCTTTCTATCGCACATTGCTGTGAAGGGGTGAGTCTGTACGGCATATGGGGTTCTCCCTTTGTATTCTGAAATCGATTGTGATAATGAAAACTTTCTCTCCACATTTGTCCTTAGAAATGCAATGCACATCTATTTCCTTCCTTCATAGGTCATGAATAGGCTGCCTTCTTTACTAATATAGTATTTGTGACAACAGATTATTGTTTGCAGAGTGATTGGTTAAGAAGCTGCCTTCTTTTATCCTGTTTGGTGCTGTCTGGAACTCTATAATGATCTCCATACCAATTTTTTCTGATACATGTACATTTTTGAAGTAATATGCATTCTTTTGTTTTTAGAATTCTGGTCAAATAGCTCCCTTAGATGAGATAGTAAGACTGAAGGAGAAATATCGTTTCCGCGTATTATTGGATGAGAGCAACTCTTTTGGTGTGCTTGGACGTTCTGGAAGAGGTCTCACGGAGTACTGTGGTGTCCCTGTAAGTTTGAAGGATTATTTCCATCTTGATTGGATTGGTATAGTATTTTGTATTCACAGTTTCTTTCTGCAGGTCGAGAAGATAGATATCATAACTGCCGCTATGGGACATGCCTTAGCAACGGAGGGTGGATTCTGCACTGGAAGTGCTAGAGTCATTGATCACCAAGTATGGAACATGTTGACCATGAATGGAGACTTTTTTTAATGCATTTGATAACCATTTCATAGATTTAGAATTGTTTCTTTAAGTAATTGACAAAGAAGGCAAAAGGAGAATCTCCAAGCGATCATGCTTGTTTGAATGGTCATAATGCTAAATTTCTTTTGACTTTCAAAATATTAATGCCTTGGTTCTTGCACATTTTCTTTTGCAGCGATTGAGCAGTTCAGGATATGTATTCTCTGCTTCTTTGCCTCCATATCTTGCAAGCGCTGCAATTACTGCTATAGATGTCCTGGAGGAAAACCCTGGCCTTTTGACAAAACTGACGGCTAATGTCGCTCTGCTGTTGAAAGGTTGGTCCTTACCTTGCTCTTGCTGTTTTATGAGATGCATTATTTGTCGAGAATGCAGGAAATACTTGGTGTCTTTTGTCATCCATCCGGCCATGAGGGCCCAATAAGCTTGTTAGTTATCAGGACTTTTCAAATGAGTAGTCTTTCTGATTCATAATATTTTTTTTCCTGTCATAAAATGAGTAATATTTGATCACGAAAATTCAGCTTGATTTATTTGTTACTCTTTTCCTGCATCATTTTTCTGATTCAGTGAGTTTGGATTAGCCTTATCAACACTAAAGACTGCTCCTGCAGAAGCAGCATAGGATTCCTGTTATAGTGGTGATGATGCTTTTGCGGCTTTGAGTCATTCTCTAAGTTTATTTCTGTGGAAAGCCAAATGCTTCAGTGACTTGTCAGTTTTTTCTGCTGCATGTCCTTGAGAAGTCAGGGATTCCTGACATTCTTAATCAGATTTCCTTTTCATCGTCAACATATCTACATTTACCAACTACGCAGAAGAAAGTATATATTTTCACTGCACTCGGTTCTGAGTCTACTTTCCTATTTCAGAACTATCGGGCATACTGGGTCTCCTAATAGCAAGCAGTCCAGAATCACCTGTTGTTTTCCTTAGATTAGAAAGGTCGACAGGTTCTATGAAGGATGACCAACACCTCCTTGAAGATATTGCTGCTCGTGTAAGTAATCTTCTGCTTTATTTAGATTAAGCCCGGCGAGTCACTTCTTTACTAATATGTTTTTTTTGCAAATGGCTCTTGTATTTGCAGGTATTGAACGAAGATTCTTTGCTTGTGGTGGTGTCAAAAAGATCAACACTTGACAAGTGTCGTCTGCCAGTCGGGATAAGATTGTTTGTTTCGGCTGCCCATACAGAGTCCGATCTGATGAAAGCTGCTGATTCGTTGAAGAGGGCTGCATCACTGGTTCTGAAGGGTTGTTAATTTAATAGTCGACCGAGATTTCTTGGATATTCGTTTGATGTCAGGTCTAGTTTTCAGTTTTGACGTTGTATTTAAACTAGGCATTGACTAACAGTTGGATGGATAGTACCACTTCTGGTTGTTAGATTATACAAAGAATTCCTTCTGCGCCTTTCTTTTGGAAGTTTTCCCTCCTTTTGTATCGGTAGCTCTCAACTCTTGTATTACTGATTCTCTTGCCGAGGAACATTTTTCCTAATTTAGACAGTTTGTGGGATGTCATAGCACTAACTGCTTTATTTTCTTAATGCAAATTCTGCCAAATGATAACTAGGTTTACACTCATTACTCGAGTTTTCTTCCTCTGGATAAGACAAGCAACGATAGCGAGTCTCAAACTAAGAAATTATGCTTTACTTGGACCGGTTCAGGTCCGACTTCTGTTCTAGGAACCTTTGGCATTAGTTGATATGCCCTACTTTCTGCTAAAGTAAACTGCTATATTGTGAACTGATTTATGCCCTGAATATCTACATGTCACCAAGAAGGTGAGTCGGTATGTTGCGAGGAAAAAGTGTCCCCAATATCTATTGAAGCCAAAAGAAATTGATCATTGTGCTTAATCGACCTCAGAAGTTCCATTGTTACTTGAGCTCTACATCGTTGGTCGGATCCGGCAGACTCCTCACCTACGGTTCAGTTGGTTTTCTGACTGAATCTCCCTTGGCTCATCGATTAACATTTCGGTCAACATGTAAGTGTCTTAAGGATGCGGATGGTCTTAGATCACATGTAGTGTCTCTGTTCCTGAAGCTGAAGATTCCCAGTTGCCGACATATTGGCTTCCGTGAATTCATCTTGTTCTTGTCTGGGATGATACTACAGTAAATTCTTGCAGCTGTCTATCCGATTCGACCTTTCAGTGATTTGTGTGATTATTCATGTGTTACCATGTTATCCTTTCCCAGAGAACATATGTTGTAAATAAGCGTCGTGTGAATCTTGCTCTAGTCACTCACACTAACATGAGAGCTTACATCTGGCTTCTAACAAGCTAGCTATGATTTCTCTCCAAGAGCATTTAATGCTTGAAGTGTCTCATCTTTACGCAGAATGGAGGCGGCCGAGGCGATCGCTTGTGTTAGAGAGGCAACTTATACGCTGTGTAGATGTACTCTTTCCTTTATATGATACAAAATCACACCTTCATAAGTGTGCTTAAACAACCGGCATCATCAATGGGTATTAAAACATAAAAGATACCAGATGCCAAAACCATAATGCCAAAACAAGAGCAAGTTTTTTTTTTTAATGTGATGTTATGGCTTTAATTTTTATAAGCTTATATATCCTGGTTGCCATGTTTGTCCAAAAGCCGTACTAGATTTTTTTTTTATTAGGATTAAGACTTCTCCCTATTAGCAATGTTGTGATGACCTTCAATACAAACCCAATATCTTTAATATGAGGGAAAATATAACAAAAAACCCAAAAATTGTACCCATTATGACAACCATACTCCAAATTTTTTTTTGGGATATTAAAATCTCCAAACTTGTAAGACATATTTGGCAAACTTGCAATAAACTTGTCTCATATCTTTGCCTGCGAGTACATATTTAAGAGCAGAAACATGCTTGATTTTTCCTTTCTAGTCCAACAACATGCTTGGGGACTGAGACATTTCCTACAATGTTGTCCTCATCATCATAGTATTCATTAGAAATCTGAGGATAATAAGCCACCAGAAAATGCTTGACCTTCTAGTCAACAACATGCCATGGATGATCCTCACATCAAGTTTCATAATCTGGGTAAACTTCAAAAACCAACCCATGGCTTCAAACCGGTGGCTATTCTACAAGCACTTGTTATTTGATATAACCATTTAGAATTGCACTTTTGATGTCCATTTGATAGAACTTGAAATCACAAAAGCAAGCATAAGCTAATAACAGTCCTATTGCTTCTAATCTTACAACAAGAGCATATATCTCATCATAATCAATACCTTCTTCTTGAGAATATCCTTTAGCAACTAGTCTAGCCTTATTGCGTACCATATTACCCTTGTCATCAAATTTTTTTTTCTGTATACCCATTTTATACTGATGGTAGAATGATCTTGAGGTCGAGATACAAATTCCCATACTTCGTTGACTTTGAACTGATATATCTCTTCTTGCATAGTTTCGATTCAGCTTTTGTTAACAATAGCTTCATCAATTTCCTTGGGTTTGATCTTAGAAATAAATGCCAAGGGATTCATCAATTCTTGGAATGAAGACCTGGTTTTGATTCTTCATCAATTTCTCCAAGGATATGTTCCTTAAAATGATCTGTCTTGAACCTCAAATGCTTTGGTAAAAATGTAGGATTTTAATATAGCTTCCGGTTGTCTTTGTTGATGGATATCGTTAGCCTATGTAGGCATCGGCATGAATTCTTCATTATCATCAGCTATTATCCTTAAACAGGGTATTTATGGAATACTCCACTTCTTGATATACTTTGTTAAACACATGATATGCTCTACTAGAAAATGAGTAGCAAAAAAAAATACCTTTACTTGCCGGGGGATCAAATTTCCTAGCATTGTCATTGACATTTTTGAGAATGTAACATTTGCACCCAAACAAGTGAAAGTATGAAATGGTCGGCTTTCTACTTTTGTAGATTTCATAGGGTGTTTTCTCCAACAATGGTCTCCAAAGTACTATGATCATGATATAGCAAGCTATGGCAATAGCTTTTGCCTAAAAGTAAGTAGAAACACTTTCTATCATCATGGTACTTGCCATTTTTTGGAGAGAACGATTTCTTCTTTCAGCAAAATCATTTTGTTAAGAAGCATAGGCAGTAGGCAGTAGAGAAATTGTGACCAGACCATTTTCATCACAATATTATGAGAAGGTTTCGCTTTGAACTCTTCATGCAAACTTTACGAAGGATTGAAAGCATCATGCTTATGGGCTAGAAACATTACCCACTTGATTGCATTCGCATCATCGCCATATGGATAAAGGCTAGAAATGACCACCAGATTGAGTAAGAAGTTGAAGATGAAGATTCATGAGAGTGAAGATCAAAAGAGGAAGCCTTTGCTCGGAATCTGGACTACTTTAAAAAATGTGCAGCTCGATCCCACATGGTGATTTTTACGAGGTGGTAGCAGAAAATGCAAAAGTAGCTTTCAATCGTGTGAGATAAAGAGTATGGATAAATGCACTGAAAGCCTAAAACTTGTCACAAAATTGCAAATGAGTTCTAAAACTTTTAAAAAGTACAATCAAGCCTTAAAACTTTTCACGAAAATACAATGGAGTCCTAAAACTTTCAAAAAGTGCAATCAACGGAAGGACTTGATTGGACTAATTTGACAAGCTTTAGGACTTGATTGAACTTTTTGAAAGTTTTAGGACTCAATTGCACTTTTTGCGACAAGTTTTAGGTCTTAATTGTATTTTTTAAAAGTTTTATGACTCAATTGCACTTTCATAATTAGTTTAAGAACTTCTAATATACTTATCCCTAAAGAGTATAAACATGAAATGCACCTCTCTTCCAAATCCCAGAGATGCTGATGATTTTCTAAATATTTAACAAAATTATTAATTATTCAACCCATTTTTAAAGAGATATATGTTTATACCAAAAAATGACAAACTTTTATTGTTGACAAATGATGGATTCAATCGAAGATAGTAATGATTGGTCATAATTAAGTCGCCAAGCAATAAAGTGGTCGACATGAAGATTGTCTTGCAAGTATCAATTACCAATGTGAAGAGAGCTGTCTATGAGGAGCGTCATCAATTGATGAAACTTGTTGACATTTCTGGTTCAAAATTTGCTAAATATTGAAAGGTGAGGAGAATGTCGAATTTAGCTGGAGGGGTACCAAATATTATGCCTAGTGACAATTATAGTGCCAAAGCCATCCCGATGACCATGGAAGTTGTAATCGTTTGTGAATAATGATTGTCAAGATAAAAAAAGCACTTATTAGCCGTAATTAGAGTATATGCAATCTTGCATGCCTGTCCAAGATCAATATAGAACCACTTCTCGCAAAAAACCTAAGTCAATATTTTTTATGAAAGATTTTTCACTTTATGGATGAAACAAATATACATAAACTCATGCTTTTGGAAACATACATAACCAAAAAGGAAATTCTTTAAGTGAATATGGACTTCCGCTCCCATGCTTTTAGACGTTCAACTTGCATTGGATTTTGAGTAGTCCGCATGATCCGATTTGATTTGGATTTTGCTTACAGATTCAAACTTGAGACGTATTCTAACAATTACTTTTATTTGTTAATCTGACTTGTCATTAAGTAGTATCACTAGTTTGTTGGAATTGGAAGGAAAACGAATGTACAACTAAGCGCACAAGAAAAATGTTTCATTCTTAATAGGATACAAAATAAGTTCGTTTTACAAACATCTTTCCCAAAAAACCCTCCCTTAAAGAAACATCACCTGCAGGTTGAAGTTGAGAGCTGGCATTGCTCTGCTTTTCTTTTTCGGGCCTTGATTTCCTATTATATTCTCTCCCGATGTAACGTGGGAGTTTTTTCTCACTTTCTTTGGCGTCTTCTTTCCCTCATTGTCATTGCTTTCTTCGCTCGTCGTGGTGAAAAAATTTCCTTGAGGCTAAAAATTTTGTGAGAACGTCATCACTGGTCCAGCCAGCAAAATGCCTGAAATGTGGCTCTATGACTTCTCCGAGATTGGGCAGAATCTATCCTCTCCCAATTTATGTGTAGATCAAATCTGTGAGCTTTTCTCTCTCCATATGAGAGTTTCTTAGGGCCCGTTTGGCAACTTATCAAATAGTGAAAATTTCTGTTTTTTTGTTCCCAGAATCAATTTGGGAACAGAAATCCGTTTGTTAAATTTTTTGTGCTTGGACACAATTTTGCAAAAAATTGTTCCCAAAATCAGTTTTGGAACAGAATCAAGAAGCAAAAAAAAGTAGTTTCTTGATTCTGGAACAATTTTTCCATTTCTGATTTTTCTTGGTTTTCTTCTTTTTTCTTGGTTTGTTATTTTTCTTCTTCCCGACCTGCCGCCAGCCTGCCATCGCCTGCCTTCGGCCGACCGCAGCCACTAGTCAGGGCCGGCGAGGGCGGCTTGCGGCCACGACAGCGAGGCCTCGCCCAGATTTGGCGACGGCGAGATCGGCCTCGCTAGATCTGGGCGAGGTCGAGCCTCGCCTAGCCAAGGCAAGGCCGACCTTGCCGTCGCGACCAGCGAGGGCAACGGCGACGCCCGCGACGCCCTCCCCGGCCCTGGCGTGTGGCCGATTGCCGGAGCCGGCAACCGGCCATGGCCAAGGAAGGAAAGAAAAAAAAGAAAAAAAAGAAAAAAAAGGAAAAAAAAGAAAGAAATATTAAAAAATTCAAAATATTATTAATAAAAAGAAATTTTGTGTAGTTACCAAATGCATTTATGTTCTTTTTCTATTCTAAGAATAGAAATTTTGGGCAGTTACCAAACGCTTTAAAATGCTTAGAAATTGTTTTCGAACACGGAATAAAAAAGAATCATTTATGAGCATAATCTGTTCCCGGGCACAGAATCGTTGCCATGCGCAGCCTTAGAGGCCTTGGATTTGTAGTGGTTCAACGTGTTGTTGTTGTTTTTATCTCTGTATGACGATGGTGTTGAGAACGCCAAACTTAGGTGTGCACTGTAAGCCATAGTTTCTGAAAGAGAAGATCTCGGCATGTGCCTATTATCATTGACGGTTCTGGTAATCGGCAGCTGATTGTTTTTTGATACTATAATAGATCTAGTCTTTTGGGATGAGAGCGTACTTATAACTGCAAGCTGTGCTCTTTTGTTTTATTTTGCACTTCTTTTGAGATTTGCTTTGCTTTGAAGCTTTATATGTTCCTTTCATGTTGATTATGAGAAATGAATGAAATTTTCTTTCAACAAAAAAAAAAACTAGTGTTTAAATTGGGAAATCTCAAATGATAAAACTAGAAGCGAGAAAGTGTCTTATGAATTCCTAATTTCTTGTGTTAGCAAGTCAATCAATGCTCGAATTATCCTTGAAAAATTTCAAACATATAAAAGTGGAAATTTTCTATATTCTGTAACACATAATTACTTTATTGACAATGTGATAACTTGCTTCTCCATATTCTGGATGTTGTGGAAAGCAAGTGATAGAGCGAAAAAAAAAGGATTGAGGAAATAAATCAAGTGATACTTGGTTAGGTCGAGGAAAAAGTACAAAAGGAAAATCCTAAATCTATTGTACTTATATTAATTCAATCATAAACATTTCAATTATACCAATTGAGTCATAAACCGTTTAACGATTTGTCAATATAGTCATTCTGGCCATTTTTGGTCAGAAATCGTTGGCTGGAAATCGCTGACATGGACACCAGTCATCCTACATGGCACAACCGACCTAACGTGGATAATTTTTAAATTTTTTCTGAATTTTTTATTACTTTTTTGTTTTTCCCTTTTTTTCTCTTTTTCTTCTTTTCTTTCATTTCTTTTTTTTTTTCCCAATTGTGGGCTAGCGAGGATGTCGTGGCCTTCAACGGCCACAGGCGAGGGCATTGTGGTCCTCACCAGCCAACAGACGAGAGCGTCGGGCCCTTGCCCGAACTAATGAGGGTCGCTACGCCCTCGACAGCCATAGGCGAGGGCATCGTGGTCCTCACTAGCCAATAGACAAGAGCGTCGGGCCCTTGCCCGAACTAATGAGGGCCGCTACGCCCTCGCCGGCCACAGGCATGGGTTGCGAGCCCTTTGCTTGGATCTTCGCGAGGGCGTCGTGGCCCTCACTGGCCAATAGATAAGGGAGTCACGGCCCTCGCCAGCCAACAGGCGAGGGTGTTAGCTATCACTTGATCCGGGCAAGGGCCCGACGCTCTCACCTATCGCCAGCGAGGTCCGCAATGCCCTTGCCTAGACTAGACTATGCCACCGTACAATAAATTTAAGACTTTCTAAAAATTATACCAAAATCTTATCACATGATTTTCACGGCTTCAATGCTAACTTGGTGGGATGTAATTCATCCATTATTCTCCACCAGTCGCCCGAAAAATTCCAAAGACCCGATAACTCCCCATCAACTGCGCATCAACAAGGCAAAAGTGGCAAACCCATGAAAGGTATAGATAGATATGAATCCAGAGCCCAAACCTGGTCAAACACAAAATTGATTAGTCGGTCACCAAATGCAAATCCAAATCCGACTTTCCCATTTTGATTTATATTGCCGACTTTAACTTGGATATGCATGCGCCCTAAATAGCAACTAGTCCAATTCCTCTTTGTGAAATTTACAAATCGGGATGTCCGTCGGACAAACGTCGGACATCCCAAATAGGAAATCTCCCATGAGAATTCGGTCGTTTTGCGAAAAATTGCGCTTTTCATGTCGACGATGAAGACATATCATAACAACAGCTACTTATGAAGTAGTCTTCAACTAAATTCGATTGAAGATCCGACTTAAAACGATGGGTATGCATGCGTAGTCCAGAAAGATCTGGCTCGAGTAAGGATGGCCAAGGATAACTTGCTCCAAAACCTTAATATTAGGAAAACAAAATCACAAATAATTTAATGCAAATCAATTTTAGGAACAATTTAATTACTTGTAACCAAAATTATCGTTATATGGAAGGCACAGCATACAATAGCAAGTTTCTAAACCCAGATCTCTGAATAATTTACAACATCGGCTGATGTTCTGCGAGAAGTAACAACGATGAAATCGCCTCCATGTCCTTGATACGATCCTGCAGTTTCTCCCGAAGGTCTTCCAACGAGCTCTTCAACACGCGGAGTTCGGGCAATCCGAGTTGATCGACTGGGGGTTGGCCTTTGGCAGCTCGTTTCGCTTTCACCACCTTCTCGAGCGTCTCTCCTCGCTTCTCCTCTGCGTTCAGCCGCTTCAGTAGATCGAGGAGTCGCTGGTTTAGATTATCATCGGTCATGCTCTTGTCATGAGATTCAGCGTCTTTGCTTGTACCCTCATCCGGGGTCTGTTCCTGATTTCGGAATCGATGAACGATGGATTCGACGTTCGGATGCCCGAACGAAAAGGGTTTGCCTCCAGGGGAAAACACGATGATCGCAATCTGGACAGCGCATAGGATGGCAAGCTCGTTAGCCTTCTTGAAAAGCCCGGTTCTTCGCTTCGAGAAAGTCACTTGCCTCGTGCTGCTGTCTGTCACCATCTCTATCTCGATCTTGCGTCGACCCATGATTAATTCCTTCAGCGGCGAAGTTTCTATAATCTCTTGCTTTGCTCAATTGCAGAATACAATGTGAAGAACTCGAGGATCCATTTTAACACACATATATAATCATATTTCTGAGACATTTCGAGATTTCTAATACTGTTTTTGGAACCTTATTACCATATATGGATTAGGTTTTACTGGCAAGGCAAGTTCTTTAATTCTCCTTCCTTTGTGTGACTAAAACATGAACCTCCAATGGTTCCTTGCTGTCATATTTATTGTCTTATGAACAAGCAAAACATAGGTTATTCCTATCCAGAGTCACCATAATTTACTGGTGTTCCATAACTTGAAAATTAATTTATTCGTGAAGAATAATATATTCATTTGTGGATGAAAGAAAAATATAGCTTAAATTAGTAAGAGAATGTAGCGACTTAGTTGAGGTAATATTAGAATTAAGTTGTAATTGCAATAGTTAGTATTATATTTGTGAAATTCAACATTTTGCTTAAATCTTGATTTGGAAATACACCATGCATTAAAGAATGCGAAAAATGCATTAATAATTATTAAGAGTTTGCTTTTAGGCTCCGTTTGTTTAACGGAAAATGTTACATTTATGGAAAATAATTTATTGGGATTCATTTTTTAGGAAAATGACAATATTTTCCGATGTTTGGCCGAAACCTGAAAAAGAACTAGAAAACATTTTCCGGCGTTTAGAAAGGAAAATCTGATTTGATTTTAATAAATACACATACATTATTCGGGTCCTAATAACTTGCGCATGGTGGCATGGGTAGCTAGGGAACCAAGCACGGGCACTAAGATCCCGGGTCCAGCCTCGACGAATCGCGACCCAGGCGCCGAAGACCCGAGCACGGGCACTTGGGTCTCGAGTGAGAGCACAAGCACCGGTCCCAAGTCTACAAATTAAGGTCGGACCCAAAGCCCTTGTGCCCATGCTTAGATCCCTAGCACCTAGGCCTTGGTCCACAAAAGCTGAGCGTGGGACCTCCGTGCCCGAGCCTAGGCCCTGGGTCCATAGAGGCCAGGTTGGGGAACTAGCGCTCGGGCTTGGGTCCTTGACACTCGAGCCTTGGTCCATCACTTGTTGGGCCCAGGATGCTTGTTCCCATGCTCGAGTCCTCGACGATTGGGCTCGGGTCCATTGAGGTCGAGCCCGAGCCTTGATGGACCCAGGCACAGGCACCAAGGTCCCAAGTCACCGCCTCAATGGACGTCGGCTTGGGTGTGTGGGATTCGAGCATTGGCATTGGGGTACCGGGCCCGGCCTTAGTGGATCTTAGCCTAGGTGTTGGGAACTCAGGCATGGGCATCACGCTCTCGAGCTTCTACCTTGATGGACCCTGGTGTGGGCATTGGGGTCCCAAGCCTCATCCTCGATTAACCTAGGCTTAGGCAGTAGGGATTTGAGCACGAGCATTAGAACCCGGGACCCAAGCTTGAGCGCCGAGGATCTGGGCACGATATTTATGGACTTCGGCCCAGGTGCAGGGGACCAGGCATGGGTGTTGAGGTTCTGCACTCAACTTTTATGGACCTGGGCCTAGCCTCGATGGATTCAAGCACTGGCGGCGGGGACGGAGGGCCTAGGTGCTGGGACCAGTCGTGGACACTAGGGACCCGAGAATGAGCATTACGGTTTCTCTGCCCAAGCGCAAAGTTTTCAGGCCCAAGTATCGATATTTAGTCATATTTTGAAAAATGATTTATGATTTTTTAAAAAGAAAATCATTTTTTTGAATTTAAGTATTGGTTTTCAATTGACTAGGATAACATTTCCCATTAACTCACTTTCCTAAGTGATCCAAATGATAGAAAATGAGAAAAATGTTTTCCTAAAAAAAAATTTGCAAAACAATCAGAGCCTTAGTTTCAATCATTTCGAATTTTACCCTACTCTTTTCTTCCCTTCCCACTTACAAAAGAGGAAAAAAAACTACTTTTGGAAAGGGGTTTATTACCATATCTGGAGGGCCTATAGATGTTTGGCATGTGGGTTGGCAATTTGTTACTTGCATGTTTTCGCGATGCTGTGTAGGGGTGTGTAAAAGAACTGGGGACCGGACCAGCCCGGAACCGGTGGTTCCCAAGGAAACCAGTCCAGTTCCCGGTTCTAATTTTTTGGAACTAGTGGGTACCGGTCCGGTTCTCGGTTCCATGTGTGGAACTGACCACCCGCCCACTCGGACTGGACCGGTATAATATATATATATATATATATATATATATATATATATAGGGAAAAGTGCCAAAAAAGTCCTAAACCTTTTGCATTTATGCCAATTTAGTCCTAAACCTTTTTTTTGGTGTCAATTCAGTCCTAAACCTTTTGCATTGGTTCCAATTTAGTCCTAAACCTTTTTTTGGTGCCAATGCAGTCCTAAACCTTTTGTATTTGTACCAATTCAGTCCTAAATCTTTTTGTCTTTATGCCAATTAAGTCCTTTCGATTTTTACTGACGTGTACGCCTGCTGGTCGATCACCAGCGCTGATGTGGAGAACTTTTTTTAATATTTTTTTGAGTTTATTTATTTATTTTTCTTTTTTTTCCCTCCCCTCCCTCCTTCCTCCAGTCGGTCGCCTGTCCAGAGGCCAGAGGCGGGCAAGGTCCTCGCTGGCCACTGGTGAGGCTCGCCCTCGCTAGCAATGGCGAGCCTCGCCATGGTTGGGCGAGGTTCGACGTCGCCAGTGACGGCGAAGGCGAGCCTCGCCATGGCTTGGGCGAAGCTAGCCTTCACCGTCACTGGCGAGGGCAAACCTCGCCAGTGGTCAGCGAGGTCGACCTCGCTGGCCTTTGGCCTATGGCCGGTCACCGGTCCAGCGACCGGCTGGAGGAAGGAGGGAGGGAAAAAAGAAAATAAAAGGAAAGAATAAAATAATAAATAAAAATTCAAAAAAATATTAAAATATTATGAAAAGTTGTCCACGTCAGCGCCAGTGACCGGCCGGCGTCCACGTCAGCAAAATCCGGCCAAAATTGATCGAAAGGACTGAATTGGCACAAAGACAAAAATGTTTAGGACTGAATTGGCATACATGCAAAAGGTTTAGGACTGAATTGGCACCAAAAAAAGGTTTAGAACTAAATTGGCATAAATGCAAAAGGTTTAGGACTTTTTTGACACTTTTCCCTGTATATATAATTTGTAAGAAAAATTTCCCATAAAAAAAATGAAAAAAATTTAAGAAAAATGAAAACCCTAAAATCCCTAATTGAAACTCAACGCCCATCAACTGAGTACTCGTCTCGTCTTACTCTCATCTTGTTTGAATCGTCTCTCTTCTCTCACTTACGGCTTCGACTCTCAGGTTCAATACCTATTGACTCACAGCCACGCCTTCGGCCATTCATTGCCTCCCTCTTTTGCTCTTGGTCATCTCCATTTGCATGTAGCTTGGTGGGACTGGTTCCGTGGACCCGCCCCTGGAACCGGACCGGACCGACGGTCTGGTTCCTGGGTGGATCCATGGAACCAACGGGCTATTCTTGATTCCAATTTTTCGGAACCGGTTCTTAGCCGGCGATTCCCGATTCCAAGGTGGGAACCGCCCACTCGGACCATGCTCACCCTTAGTGCTGTGTCAAACAAGAAATGTTAAACGGCCCAAGCCAACTCGAAAGCATATCTCAAGGGATGTTGGGCTTGCATGTCCAATCACAAGATTGTCATTTTCCTTCGCAAATTTCCCGTCCAAAAAAGAGAATGAGGAGGAGAAATATAGGGTTTGTATGTCCATGAGGGAAAACACTTTTTTTTTGGGAAGATGCAAATTGCAATTTCAGAAAACCGAGGACATTTGATATGAGAGCAAAACATGAGGAAATTGTTTGTAATTATCCTAAAGTAGTATTTATACCTTGCTTATTCTTACATATGTTGATGTAGCTTGCAAAAGTATGCAATCAATTTTGATTAACAAAAATTATATGTGCAGTATAATAATATTGTATTTATAATGTATAGAACTTCATGGTCAACGAAATCCATCATAAACGGCATGTGGGGAACATACACCTTCGCTCGTCTTTTAGGTCTGCAGAAAATAAAATATGTTTCTGCTATTATTTATAGCTAAGCAAATAACCGAGTAATTAGGTTTTTCTCTATCTAAAGACTCTTTTTGTGTAATTTTTATTTGAGAAAACTGCACCATAAGTCCTCAGCCTTATGCACGGAATTCAATAGAATCATAAACCTTTCAATTAGTTTAATCAAATACTAAACCTTTATGAAAAGTTATAGTCAATTCTAAACCTTTCAATAAGTTTACTTAAATCCCCAATCTTCACCGGATATTGTAATTAAATCCTAAATTACATTAAAAGTGCAATTTAAGGATTTATAAGCTCTTTTTGTTATGGTTAGTGATCTAACCTAGAGGTGGGTGAATATGTTATAAATGAAACTTGATATATGTAGGAACAGTTTGATATATGCGAGAATGAGATGCTAATATCAATGCAATGCTTCTATCAAACAATTAAGATAATAAGTAGAGATAGAGAGATATATGAGCGCAGATTTATAGTGGTTTAGCTTAGAACAAGTTTACGTCTACTCTCTTAGACTAACAGCCACCAAGTGGATTCCACTAGTAATCCTTGAGTGGATACAAGCTTAGTTTACTTCTGCTTCAATCTAAAGTTGGTAGATCACACCACCGATCTTAAGCACTAATAAAGCACTCTACTCTTCTCAAGAGAGATTACAAAACAGTGTATTATTCTCAACAAGTAATTTTATAGAAAACATGGTAGCTCTTATATTTGCCTAGGCATAGGATTAGTGTCCTGGTTTGAGTAATCTTTAAATTCACTTAGGCATAGAACTAGTCTTATGATTTAGGAAAATCGCTTGAATAAATTAATAGCCTAGGTTGGAATAATTGGTAACTTTCGAATTAGACATAGGATTCCTTTTAGGATCTTAGTGGATAATTCCTTAAAATAAAAGGCTCTACCTCAATACTTAGGTTTAGTTTGGAATAATGCTGCAAAACATTTTCTTGTCAACTCAAACA